TTCCAGTCTTTATGCTAAGCTATTTGTATGAAGTGTTTGGTGTCTCTGGTAGCAATGAACCTAAAGACAACTAACAGCTGATATCTCTTTCTCTATAAATCTACAGTGATCAGCTCTAACACACTGATGTTAGAAGCAGGCAAAATGGGCAAGTGGGGATCTGATCCATTTGACAAGTCACTTGTGATGGTGCTGGTTGACCATCCTCCACCTGCGCTCCTTGTGGGATGTTCCTGGTCTGCAGAGGTCAGTATTGTTGTTTTCCTTTCACACAAACCTAGTATTAAACCACACCTGTGGAGCACACCTGAGTCAGTCTCCATTCAAGTCTGCTGAATGAGCTGCTAGCAGCTCTGTTAGCAGTGTACTCAATGAAAATGCAATTTTCAGCTGATTATACACAATATATTATATTACAGTGATGTTACACACAGTGAAGGTTTCGTCCCCCACCTCACACTGTAAGGAGACGTTATCTGTTGGACAAATCGCAGTGTCAGCGCTGCGTTAGACTCTGACCTTCGTGTCCCATCTTGACCGTCTCGTCGGTGGAGTTGTTGTAGATGAGGACGGCCGTGGCGTTGTAGGCTGCCGCTTTCAGGATCTTCTCTTTAAAGGTGCAGTTGCCTCTCTGCAGCAGCGCCACCCAGTGGCCAACCCGAGGGGGGACCAGGAAACGAGTGCCGGGGTCGCAGCCCTGCCGGTCCACCACTGAGGAGACACAGTGTTACTATGGTTACTTTGTGCTGTATTTACTTTTTAACGTATTAAAGCACTTTGAATAAAGGGCTTTTATTTGGAAAGAATCACTATCACTATCCCAGCATGCTTTGCTCTGCCCGGGTCATTCGCACCATGAGTTATATACAGTACGGAATCGCTCTTCGTTCACTCCTTTTCTACAAGACTCTACAGTTTCTGATCGACCGACTGTTCATCTCTCCATCCATCCATCCATCTATCCTGTCAGCAACAATGCATTCACAGGAGGGCTGGAGCCCATCCTCAACCACTTTAGAGTCTCCCAGCAATCTGAATGTCTTTGGATGGAGGGAGGAAACCCACAGACGTGTCAACTCAAGCTGCTTTTGTTGTTTCAATGTAAATGTGAATCTAAAATCAACTTTTTCATCATTTCAGTTGAACTACAGGAGAGGAAGAGCTAACTTCCATTACAAACAGGCTGTGAATGATTCTGTGTTGTTAGCACTCAGCTTGCAGACAGAAATGTTTGTGATTCAGTGTAACAGATGTAATGAATACATTACAAAAACTGTTGGAATTGTGTAAGTTGACAAACTAAAGAGACCTCTATAATGATGTTTTCATTAAAATATATTTTTCTCCTTATAAAATTGTTTTGTTGCAGGTTTTATTTAAATATTCTCATTGAGTTCAAACTAAAATGAATTATTTATTCTATTAGTTTTTACTGTTATTGGATATAATCTGGTTTTTCGTTGTTTCATTTGTTGGGTTTTCTGTAAAGCTGCATTAGGATGACTAAAGTATTTATTTATCTGAGACCATCAGTATAAATCAGAGCACACTGAAGCACACAGTAGAGTTCAGTGTTAGTAAGCTTTAATAAGATGCTGCAGACAGTTGGAGCTCCGTCCAGCAGCTGCAGTGTCCTTGGACCGTCTGACTGTAATCTGACACTTCAGAGCAGAGACGCTCCGACCTTCAACAGCCTGAACACAGCCTGAAAGCCTCTGCAGTGCCTCAACACTGCATCTACTGCAATACTACTCGTATCTAATGCATCTGCTGCATCCACAGCATCTAATGAATCAACTGAATCCACTGCATCTACTAAATCTACTGCATCCACTGCATCTAATGAATCCACTGAATCCACTGCATCTACTACACCTACTGCATCTACTAAATCTACTGCATCTACTGCATCCACTGCATCTACTACACCTACTGCATCTACTGAATTTACTG